AATCACAGGTAACTCAACAGCTGAACTTTGAAATTAGGTGTGTAAGTAGTGCCCGCTGAGGAATGTTCGTCACCATGTTTGAGGAAGGTTAGCTGGATGATGGTAAAACTACAAGCACTTGACGAATTCCCGAGGGCATGTCTACACGCACAGCGCTGCAGGTGCCACTGTAGTGCTTAGTGAACACGCTACCTATGCTGACGAGAAAGCTTTTCCCGTTGGCACAGGTACTACTGCCCCAAGAGGCAGTAGCTATGTCAATGGGAGAAGCATTGACATAGCTCTGTCTGCACCAGGGATTAGGTCAATATAACTGCATCTCTCAGGGGTGTGGATTTTCCACACCCTTGAGCAAGGTTGTTATAACTACATAAGTTCCATAAGTAAACCAAGCCTCATCAGGAATCCTAGTTTTCTGTGTGTGGGGGGGAACAAAATTCTCTGATTTAAAAACAAACAAACATAAAAATCTATATTTTTCAGCAATTAAAATGAAACGCTGGACTTCAGTTTCCCTTCTCTCTCTCAAATATAAATATATATATATATATATATATACACAGTTGAACACAATGTTTTACTGATACACAGTAGAACCTTGTTTATCTGACCCTCCATTATCTCTGTATTAAGCAAACCACCAACTGCCCGGGGCTGACAGCGGTGGGACTTGGGCGGTCAGCCCCGAGTGGCTGGGGCTCTGGCTATAAGCGCTGCGTGGGGCTGATCGCATGAGTCACCCCTCCATCTTAAAATAAGGGATAGAAAGCCCTTTGCCAATTCTTCTGAGTAGCCCAATTTTTGATGATCTGATCTGTCCCTGGTCCCAATTAGATCAGATAAATAGGGTTCCACTGTAAAATTAAAGCACAGTACAAAATCAACAGCAAGAGAGGTTGTTTGCACATCTTGAGTAAGTGACATTGGTACTTTCGGTAAAATTTAATATGCCTTTATTTTTTTCACAAAATCTAAAAACGAAAGATTCCCTGTAAAAATGCAAATTCTGTGGGAAACGGATTTCTAGGATCCCTGCTGATCATGCTTGGTAGGTACCAACTTTTTTTGAAAGCAACCCCCTAGTGAAGCCCAGTCCCCCTCTGTGATACCACTGTGTGTGTGTTTACCATTCCTTGGGTGACTGGATTTGAAGTGAAAAACCCAGACACCTACTGGCTCCCCTTCCTTGAAGCTTGATTGTGCACATGGGCTCTTTTAGACTCCTTGGACTTGCTCTTTCTTGGTTGTGTGGGGAGGGAGCAATGGTAGCTTGTCCAAAACACCACCTACTTGTGGCACTAAAATGAGCCGTCACTCAGTAAGTTGTGCAGCTCTGTGATCTCTCTTCTCCTTTTTCGCAAGAGGAATGAAATATGTGATGTTGACATCTCAATGAGTGGGCCTCTAGGCTAACACCTCCCTGAAATAAATGGGTGCAGTTCCCACATGTAAGAGCTGTTGTTACGGGCTTTCTGCAGACTCGCATAGGGCTTGACTACACGCAGAACTTTTACCACTTACTACAATGGTATAGTTAGTGCTGTATCTTGCTGCAACTGTGGATGCAGTTATATTGGTATAAAGGTGCATTACACACGTGTAGCTTGTTCCTGTATGGGAAGGTATGACCATACTAATACTGTCCTCACCTTGATGGAGCATAAAACACTCAGATTTGTAGGTCTCGTGTCGTCGTTTCCCCCCCCCCCCCCCCAACTACAGTATATACACTGAAGTAATTTTATCAAGAGCTTCCAGGGCCCAGTCCAGCAGCCCCGGAGCACCCAAATTCCCATTGAAATGGATGGGAATTGTGGTTTTGAAGGAATACAGGAATAGATCTCCATTCATGCAAACTATCAAAGAACGTTTTAAAATCAAGTAGTCAGATTTTGCCCTGACTGGTCTATGAAGCAGTTAGTTAAGAAAAAGCCACATACTATCTGCAGTTTCATGGCAGCTAGGTTCAGCTGGCCTTACCAGGCAGGTTTAATATTATTTTAACCAAATGTTTTGTAAATAAGTGCCTAGCTGCTCCAGGGATAGGTCCCGTAATATGAACAAAATGCATATTGTATTCCTACCCCTCCAACGCCCCTGTTTCAAGGTAGGCCACTCACTTTACTCCAGAAGCTGCCCACGTTCCACACACATTTGGTGTCCCTCTCTCATTGTACAAAACTATTTGCATCCGTAACAAGGAATCATGAAACTGAGGTTATAGAATTATTTACACTACATGAACAAATCGCACAGCATTTTAAGTTTTGTGGGGATGGGGAGCAGGACTGCTGGGCAAAGTAGTAGGTGGTGCTGACACTTCCCAGAAGACCCTGTTTTCAGTTGCTTATAACTTTGCCAGATTTTAACACTCTGGGAGGAAACTTTCCATACGAGAGGTCAGCCTCAGGTTAAATTTTATTTTTTTAAATTTCAGTCAGTGGTTCAGCTGGTTCTGAGAATGAGGCCAGGGGAAAAATGCAATGTTTTGCCCATGTGTTTTTTTTTTTTTTGTTTTTTGTTTTTTAATATCTCAAGATCTTTTCAAATGCTATGGAGCTGGGACTTGAAATTTGGCAGAGGTGTGACCTTTGTGGCAGTGGTGTGTCTTTTGCCAGATCTATGAAAATCTGCCTAAATTTGGCCAAGTTATAAATGACCTGGATTCAGAGCAGCGAGCCAATCTCTCTTGCGGTCTCAATGCACTCCCCACCCTGGCGGGGCCCAGGCAGAGAGGAGAAAGAAGCTGCCTGATTCAGATGTGGAGGGGGCAAGATCCAAACCTGAGGAGGGAATAGATTGGGAGGAGGAGCCAGGGGGACATTTGGAGTAGGGGGAGAAACTGGGATGGGAGACTGAGAGGGAAACTGAGACTAGGAGTTAGGGGGCAGACTGGGACTGGCAGGGCAAGGAAGCTGGGGCAACAGAGGAGTGGGTACCTTGGAAGCCAGTAGATAGTGCTGTGGGGGAGATTGGATGAGGAGTCAGAGAGAATTGGGTGTGCAAGGAGGTGGGGACTGAGACTCAGTGTGCCTGCGAGAAGGAAGTGGGGTGGAGAGGAGACAGATGTGATGAGGAGCTGGGCCCAGGGGGATACCTGGCACTGTATGGGCAAGGTGGTATGGAGGTGAAACACACTTGATGAGGACATTGGCTTTGGGATTCAATGGGTGCAGGGAACGTGGGAGATGGAGGACTGATGGGGGTCCACTGGAAGCCAGGGTTGGGGAAGTGACAGATTGGCTGAGGAGCCAGTGTGGGAGAAGGGGAACTGGGACTGGCTGAGAAAAGGAGTGTGGGACTGGGGTGAGAAGCCTGGGGAGTGGAAATTGGGACTAGCTAGGGGAGGTGAATGGGACCGGGACTTAGGAGCTAGGGGAGGGGAAGAGATGGGACTGGAAGGAGTGGGGCAGAATAAGTCAAGCTTGGGGGTGTCTGAGCTGCCTAGAGCTCATTCCCCTTCAGAGCCTGGAACAGACCCCAGAATTCCTGAGTCTTTGCATTCCTTTGCTGTCAGCAAATATCTGTGGAAACCCACAGGCAAAGTGTCTCGTCCTCTTCTAGTGCTGGTCTACAGAAAGCAATACTAGGTTGTCACACTATCATTTACTGTGTTTAGTGCAAATGGCAGAGGTCTGTGTGGTACATCTAAAAGTTGCAACCCTGCTGCTGGCCCATCTAGGGATCAGTATGATGGAATTTGTTGCCATCTGCCTCCGCCCCCAGGAAAACCTAGGAAATTACACATTAAAAACCCTATGTTGAAAGGTTACAAAGTCGAGCTCAAAAGTTAGGAAATGACAGAATTAAGGTTTCCTATGCAGCTGAAGTTAGGTGAAGCTGTGCTTTGAACATACGAAGTGCTGTATATTGCTACTTACTTCATAAAGTCAAGTCCTCGACACCTCAGATTGTGCATCCAAGATTAGTGGATACTTTTGACCTTAATCGCTCTGTGCTGCAGTTCTCCATCTGTTAAATGGGGCTAATACCATCCTCTCACCTCACAAGGTTTTTGGGAATATAGTATTTGTGAAGCATTCTTGTACTATACTGATGAGCTACATAGAAAAACCCATGAGGAATAATTGTCTTCAGAGCGGGGGCGGGGGGGGGAAGCCTGGGGACTTGCACTGAACAGTATAAAACAAAATATTGAGTGGCTGCTAATTAACTGTGCACTGATGAAACAGGTTTCCTGTGGTGAAAAAATAGTATGGGGGAGGGAGGGTCATGTAATTAAAAATGATCATAATGAATACACAGATGGGGGGCCAAATTAAGGTTGCACAGATAACCTTCTGGCATTTCTTGACTATGCATCCTGAATGTTCTTTAAACGTTTGGAGAAATCAAAAGTATATCCGCATACCTTTGAGGGGCATGCGTGTGAATATTCATTGCAGCTCTTTGAATTAGATTTTTAATTCCTGTAAACCTTTGTAGGCATCACTTTTTATCTGACATCTTTAGAGCTGTTATATCTGCTTTAATAATGAAGCTATTAATGAATTAATGAGAAGATGCTCTTTTGTGATAACATTGTAAATGTTTATGCTTTGCCTACTTATGCTTTTTGTAGTACGTTTCTGTTCCTCAGCATATTTTGTATTTCATAAGCCACCTTTCTGTCATTCCATAAAAAGAAGCATTTGCTTTCTTAAAATTGTCTTAAGAATTATGCTATTATTTTTACGAGCTACGACAGGTAAATTGTCAGTGAAATCAAACTCAGAGATCACTTCACAAGGTAGAACATAGTTGTGTATCGTACTGTACTTGATCTTACAGTTAGTAACAAGCAAGTAAACCAGTCTAGTCAAGAAGCAGTCTGATTCATGACTGTAATGTTGTGCTATATGTTGAGGTGGGTCTTGATGTTGCTTCCATTGAAGCCAATGACAGAAACTTCCATTGACTCTGCAGTCAGAGTAGGATTGTATCCCTAGTGAATAAGTATATTTCTGACCTAACTGATTTTCATGCATTTTTCTTTTCAGTACACAAAAGTTTGGATTCCTGACCCTGATGAAGTGTGGAGATCAGGAGAAATTATCAAGGATTACAAAGAAGGGGATAAAAGCCTACACCTGAAATTTGAAGATGACACTGTAAGTTAATTAAAATTATGTATATTGCCCTTATCAGTGGTAGATCTAAGCTTCAAATGATCCTCTGAACAAGCCTGAATCATTACAAGTTCTTGGTGTATTTTTAAAAAAAGTCCGTCATACATCACTTTGCCACAGTCTCAGGTTCTCAAAGGTATTTGTATTCAAATCAAAGGTTTCCTGCCTCACAGCCAATCTTCTTTGACTTGATTCTGCTGCAAAGTTATAGTCTGTGTATGACATCCAAGTAATTTTTAAAACAGCAGACTGTCACAAACACCAGATTATGACTTTGCTGGCAGATGAATTGGAAGCAGTAAATATTTCATATGGGTTTGAATAAGCAATAAGTATCAGAAGTAAAAGACAGCAGAATACAGAAAATAACTGGCCAGGTGACACTTTTTTTTTTCTATGTATCCTCAGCTTTTTAGGGTTAATTCAATATAAAACCCTGATTTCATTTTAGTGTTTTTTTTTTTTTTTTTTTTTTTTTTAAAAAAAAAAATGGTGATAAAGGAGAGAGACAGGAAACTCCAGAGAGAGTTTTTGAAAAGAACTCAGGCCTGTCTGTTTTCAGAGTACTTTTCAAAAGGCTTCCCTTGCTAACACAGGCTGAAATCAACCTGGTATCTTAAGCTGTGGGCAACTGCTGCTGCTAACATTTAAAAACCAAAATGAGTAATAACTGAGTAGAGTCCTTGCTGGACCAATTTAGGAGAAACCTTTTAAAAATCCAGTTCTTATAAATGTCATCTTGATGGGAATGTTAGAAGACCCTAGGTAAATGAGCTCTATAGACCAATGATCTGGAGCTAGGTCATTTGCAAAGACTAATGAATGATTGAGTACCTTGACCATCTTCGTAGTGTTGAGCTGAGGATTCATACTTAGGGAAGAATGGAGGAAGAAGGATGGTCTGTTATGATGTCGCCTTTTTCAGCTGAGTATGAACTTGTTCTGCAGGACAGTGTCACGCTGAGACAATCACATTACATTAGCATGTGGCAAAACCAACATCATGATGAAACTCTACCATGTCATGGTGGTGCAGAGTTGGCTATGGAATTTACTTCAGGGCCGCCTTTATGATTTCACTGCATCAAAATTTGGAGGATCATGGAAAACAGTGGTAGAGGGCAGCCAAATCTCTGACTGTCTCAGCTCCTGAAGTGCAGGGAGCTCCCAGCTCCCCACAAATTTATAGTCTGAGAAAACTGGACAGCTTTGCTCAGAAAATTCCCAGCACTGCTACAGTCTGTTGCTTTCATAAGTAGGTAATTTCTTAAAAAAGGACTTAATCTTATTGGGTGTAGAGGGTCATCATAGGCCCATGCACTGCTTATGCCCTAACTTGAACATTTAAGTGGTGCACCAGGCTTCTATGGCTCTATGCACAAAGAGGAGTTTTACCCACTTGTCATCTCTGAACGCCAAGAGTCAGCTCTACTGACACTCGTTTGTTACAAAGACCAAGTGCTATTGAAACTACCAAGCGCACTCCAGTTAGATTGATGTTCTGTTGAGGAACATTAAAGGAACTAAATTCCCTAATAAGCCAGCTTGACCTTACTGCTTTCAGCACCATGTTTTAGCAGAGCTGCACAGCCTACAATCTCCGTGACTGGTATAATCGTGCCAGGAAATATATTTTTCATGAACTGCTTCATCTAAATTGGTTTTTCCATTGAGCCGGCAATTTTTTTTTAATTGTCCAGGGGACGATCTGCTGTGTTACTAGAACAGTTAACAGACACGGCTTCCCCAAACTGAAAATGCTCCAAGGGCTGTGTGAATAATTCACAGCTCCTGCCAATGAACCGGTTTCACACTGGCACATAGTGTGTTACCCTCTTACTGAACAGGCAGCTGGACAGCAGGAATGAGAGATGCTTGATTAGACTGTTATGAAAACAATTCTTCTTTTGGGTTCAGTATAAGCAGGGTGGCCAGCAGCAGTATGTCAGAGTGCCAATGTCACCGGGAAAGCAACATAACGCACCTTGGAACTGAGTGATGAGACTGGGGACACATTCGTTTGCGCAGCTTGATAGTCTTCCCCCTGTGGTTGTTAATCTTCCAAGGGCCATCCATATATATGTGACACATGTGCCTCTCCACAGGACCTCCTCGCATTCTTTGTCCCCGTCCCCCTCCTCTCCAATAGGTAGATTTCAGCAGGGAGGTCTGATTTCATGCTCCGTGATGTTTTTTTCACGGCCATGAATTTGGTAGAGCCCTAGTTCTGGACATCTGCTGGAGCCTGCCCCTACTCCCTGGTGTCTGACTCTCAGCAAAACTCCAGAATATAGAGCCAGCCGTGGAGCTGCCAGCCTGACCAGCTGTTAGACACTCTCACTCTTCTCTCCCACTGCTAACAAGTAATGAAATCCAGTGATGTGATTAACATCCATGTGCAAAAATGAGGTGTCTCTTTAGTATAAATGTGTTCCAGGTTTGCCAGCCTACTCCCATTGGAACTCATCTTTCTCCTCTCTGCAAATGCGATGTCCTTAGAATAATAGTCCAGTGCCTGTGCTCTTTCCCAATAATACACACACATTCCTCTCCCTGATCATCCCACAGAGCTGCCTGCCCTTACAGCATACTACCAGAGAGAATGAGCAGGAAACTTTCTTTCTGCTTTACTGCCAGCTGTGGATACCTTTATTTCCATAATCAGGAAATTACCATAATTACCTCTCTTCTGCTTCTGAGACAATCGAACAAGGCTTCCGTGGAGAACAGCGAGCCCAATAATTCAGGATAGTGCTCGTATCCTAGTAAGGAATTAGGTGACAGATGTGAAATGAGCATGTGGTCTTGGCTCAGTTCTTGTTGCCCATCTTACAACTGGCACTAACTGGCTTGATTGGCTGGCTATCCTTTTACCGCCTGGAGTTCTCCATCTAGATCAGGCAATGGGGCTGTGTGGGTGAAGCTTGCACTGCCAAAGCCTCTGCTGTATGTGAAGCCTCCAGTGCTGCCAGTCTGGTAACATTCATCACTATTTCAAATTCTATGTAGTTATTTCCCCCTCTTGGGTTTTGTGGGAATTCCAGCAGCTTAACACTTCAAAACCGTCAGTGATCAGGTGAACCTGATAGAAACAGCCAGGGTGGGTCCTGCCAATTCTGGGTGATGTATCTCTGGCTGGCGGTAGTGGTGGTAAAGAAGGGAAGGTCAGAAGACTGCTTGCTGTTGTATGTTGTGGAAACTGCCTAGATGCTGTTGCCAGGACATAAAGGAATGAGTCATTTCAATATTATGACAGAGTTTATTTGATATAAAACCATTAAGATACCTTAAGTGTTTGTTAGATGGACACATTCATCTTTGGATTCACGCTGTCAGATTTAGTGTGTATCCCCTGTGATGCTGCTTTGCAATTAACTCATCTTCCTTTAGAGAAGATTGGTTACGTTCTAAAGGTCTGTTTTCTGCTCTTAACAGGTGTTGATAGCTGTTTCCTACTGGTACAGGTCTCATAAATGGAGTAGAATGAACAGTCCATACCTGAAATATGGCATGATAAAAGTTCAACTCCGCTCCTGTCATTCTGATAGATAACGTTCAGGGCCACCTGTGCCAAAATGAAGTAGTTTGTTAGAGCTGGACTAAGTCTTGGGGTTTTTATTCCACAGTTATTTTATGTTGTTAAATGGAAATCTGTCCTTTAGGCGATTTTGTGACCGTTCAATTTACTGTAGGTTTTCAGTTAGCGACATGTCTGTCATATCCTTCAGAGCCATAGCTACACAGCCAAGTCGGCTTCTAAAGTGAATAAAGGCTCCGTTCATTTTTTAAAAAGACAGATTTACATGGCTGGATTTTTTCCCCTTTTAATATTTTTCCCCCTTTTAGTATTTCTCCTGTGCAGTTTGTTTTTATTGTTTAGGCCATTCTTATGAAGACCCTGCTGAGTGTGATGAGGGCATGTTGGTCTGATAAACTTTAGATTAGCATGGAGTGACACACACATGCATCAAATGAAGGTAACATGAACATCAGGATCTCTTTCAGGGAATTGAAAGCTTTTGGTTCCTGACAGTTGAAATGTCTCCGCTGTTGTTGTTACTAGCTCCTTTTTCTTATCCTTTTCATCTAAGTGAATTTTCATGGATTTATGGTTCCAGCAGGCCTGTTCCTGGCTGCTTTGTGTAGATCACAAATCTCTTTCTGGAGTGATGAACTCACTGTTACATACTCCATGGGAATCCTAGGCTCTCAAAAATCCTAATGCAGGACTGTGGGGATTATCGCACGGAACTCAGCTGCAGCAGTAAAGATTTTTGTAAAGGTCAAGCTTCATTGAGATTCTCTCAGGAGTGGAAGAACTCAGTCTGTATGCTGCATGGGTGATGCCACTCCTACACATCCGAAAGAGACAGCATGGCCTACTGGATAGGATAATGGGTTGGGGCTTGGGAGACCAGGCTCCGTTCCCATCTCTACCACTGACCTGCTGTGTGATGCTGGGCAAATTACTTCATCTCTCTGTGCTTCTGGTTTTCTTCCCACCTTTTGTCTGTCTTGTCTATTTAGCTAGTAAACTCTTCGGGGCAGGGATTGTCTTTTAGTTGAGCATAATGGGATTCCAGTCTTGGCTGGGACCTCTTGGGGGTTGGGGGAGTCAAGACTTCAAACTCTTGTGAGGTGATTTACTTTGCTTATGGCACCAGCCTGGCCAAAAGCTGAGCGTTTTCTCATCTGTGTTGAAGCTTTGTTTCTGATGGCAGTTGGAATAGTAACTCTGAATGTGCAACACAGCTTCATTTCCGCAGTACGTTTTATACAAAAAGGGTTTTAGTGTGTAAAGCTTAAGTGGCATCAGTACAGAACTGAAAGAACAATAGCAAGCTGTCACAGAGGGAGAAGCTGTGGAGGATCAGTTAGGAAAGTGAGGAGAGCTAGGAGGAAGATGTTTGAGGAGAAGGGTTTTGCACCAGCAATGGCAAGATGGTTGGAAGGGACAGAGGAAGCAGCATTAATCGATGGGCAAGGAAGAGGAGCAACATCTGAAGCAGGATGGCACCGTTCCTTTGAGTTTGAGACAGGGCTTTGGAGCTGTGCTCCGGCTCTGCTCCAGCTCCAGGCAAAAACCTGCAGCTCCACTGCTCCGGAGCTGCTCCGCGCTCCAGCTCCGGGCTCCGCTCCAAAGCCCTGGTTTGAGAGGACAATTTTTAATTGGAACCTAAAATGAGTGATGAAGTTGGGTTTGGGTTTTTTTTGTTTTTGTTTTTTGTTTTCTTCATTCTACTGTCCTATTTGACTGTTTTGTCCTCCTCTTCAGTCCTGTCTCCCATTTAGATTGTGATCCTTGACAGCAAGGCCTGTCCTCTTTGTTACATGTCTGGACAATGCTTAGCACATTGAGGGCCCTGATCTTTGATGGTAGTTTTGAATGTGGGAATAATGGCCATGTGTTAAATCTGATGGTGGTATCTGCACATGCGGAGATCTGGGCAGGGAGGAATTAAGGAGTCCATAGAGGAGGCTCTCTGCAGCCATCAAGGTGAGAGAGGGGTGAAAGGGAGGGTAAAGGCTTCAGCGGATGAGGGGTCAAGGCAGTGGCAACATGAAGGCTTCAGTTTGTCACATCACTTCAAGAGAATCTCTGCTAAATATTCCATGCTATTGGCTGAGGAACTGAAGGCCTGAAACATGGCAGTGCCAGCATGTCTTTTGAGGAGTGAAAAATGAACTCCTCCTCCATAAGCATCCATTAGCTGCCAAAATATTAATTGGCGCTGTTTGTTAGATTGTCCAAGAGGCAAATGAGCAGAACATACTTGACACAGTTGGCAATGAATGGCCGTGGTATGCTTTTCCCCACCTAGTATTAATGCATATATCACCCACATATCACCTGCCTACGTCTCCTCTGCTGTAGGTACTATCTGTTGTACCATTGCTGATATATTCACTCTTTCCAGTACGTGCCTCTCTAACTAAACCAAACAACTTGTTGGATAAAATGAATGGCATGGGAATTCTCATCTGCCTCTTTCTGCTTTCACAAGCAGGGTTTCACTATTGCTGGAGGAACTTACCATCAGAGTGTTCAGGGGGCAGGAACATAACTCATCCAAAGTGTAAACAAATGTTAAATGTATCCAGTAAATACCAAACTGGAAACTTCCCAAACCATCTCCTGTCTCTAAGTGTCTGACAGTGGAAGTGCCCACGCGGGAGTTGACAAAAGTATTTACAGATAAAGGGAAAAGTCATGTTGATTCTAATCAGTGGCTCTGCTGTTCATTTGGGGGAGAGCCAAAACTCTTTAGCATATGGTGAGCCGTATATTTTAATGCCATCACCATGTTCCTCACGTAAGTCTACAGTGCTCCTGTGTTTGCTCCTTTGTATCCTTTCCCCATTGTCAGAAGAGATTGAAGGGAGTATAGAGCATAATGTGTTTGAAGTGACTTTAATTAAAAAAAAAAAAAAAAAAAGTCAACAAATAACTTTGTCAAAGGGAAGGACTCTGGATTCTGTGATTCTGGTTGACCTTAAAGTAGAATAAATAAAGATGCACATGTCGGATTCAGTTATGCTTTTACTGTTTTTGGTATATGGTGCTGTGTGTTACCAACACTTTGAGGTAGCTTGTGCCATCTCCTTCCTTGGTCACCCTGAAACACTTCCTGGGTTTGCTTTAGACGGTGAGAGTAGATGCACTTAGTCAGCAAGGGTGAAATTCACCCCTCATCAGTGAATTTTGTCCTTTGTGCAGTGTCCAAAGTATTTGCCCTTATTCAGTGCTGGGAAATCCCTAGGGAATACAGGAAATACGAAAGCAATATTGTTTAGTTATCCACAAATAATTGAAAATATTTTTTAAAGGAGTGACCACTGTGGATGCATAGAACTCCTATTCACTTCAGTAGGCAATATGTGCACATTCTGTCTGGGCTTGGATTCTATCTATCAATGGGGCTTGGATTCTGGTTGGGGCCTCTAGGTGCTAATGTAATACAAATAATCTTTTGAGGGCAGAATTATCCCTACATGAGTTTAAAAAAAAAAAGAAAGAAAGAAACTAGACGGTTCTTATTTTTTAACCGTTTTTGTGTGCAATTTGTATTACTTCAGATCTGCGACTATTCAGTTGATCTCAAAACCAGCCAACTACCCTTCTTGCGTAATCCAGATATTTTGGTGGGTGAAAATGACCTGACAGCTCTAAGTTATCTCCATGAGCCTGCTGTCCTACATAATTTAAAAGTCAGATTCTTGGAATCGAATCACATCTATACCTACTGTGGTGAGTATTACAATACATCTGCATCAGGGTTTGGGGATTTTTTTGCACTGTTTAATATTAATTTCTTATATGCCAATACTGATCTTTTTATAACAATGTAATATTTACATAGCTCCTCTGATCTGAGGATTTTACCATATACAGTAAAAGCTGCGTTAGCCAGCACTGTACCAACTGGAAAGCTCTAGGAACCGGCATTTCTTATATCCATTAAAAGTCCAGTTGGTGCAGGGCCGGCAGGCTCCCTACCCAGCGGCGGCTCCAGGCACCAGCACTCCAAGCACGTGCCTGGGGCAGCAAGCCGTGGAGGGCGCCCTGCTGGCTTGCCTGCGAGAGGTCCACCAGTCCCGTGGATTTGGCGGCAATTCGGTGGTGGGTACACCGAAGCCGTGGGACCGGCGGACCTCCTGCAGGGATGCCGCGGGACTGGGGTCCGCCTGCAAGTATGCCGCTGAAGGCAGCCTGCCTGCGGTGCTTGGGGCGGCAAAAAAGCTAGAGCTGTCCCTGTCCCTACCTGGCTCTGCATGACTCCCTGGAAGCGGCAACATGTCCCTACTGCTCCTAGGCAGAGGAACGGCTACAGGGGCTTCATGCATTACCCCCACCCTGAGCGCTGGCTCCGCAGCTCCCATTGACGGGGAACCGCGGCCAATGGGAGCTGCGGGGGCAGCGCTTGTGGGTGGAGACAGTGTGTAGAGCCCACCTGGCCGCGCCTCCACCTAGGAGCAGCAGAGACATGTCACCGCTTCCGGGGAGTCACCCAAGGTGAGCGCTTCCTTGATCCAGCACCCCAAAACCCCTCTTGCACCCCAACCTCCTACCCCAAGCGCCCTCCTGCACCCAAACTCCCTCCTTCTTAGTTAACCAGAATTTTTGACTTACTGGCACCCCCCCCCTTCTACCAACATGCCAGATAACAAAGCTTTTATTGTATTAATTAATTAAGCCACACAACGCCTCTGTGGAGCTGATAATGTAATACCTGTCTTAACGATTAGAGTGACTGAGGTGCAGAGCGGTCAGTAGCAGAAGTAGGAGTTGAACCCAGGTGTCCTGTTGCAGCCTACAAAAGGTGTTAGGTTAAGAAATAAATAGAAATTAGACTTTGGCGTAAGTATAGAGGAGTGAGAAATTGAGCTTGTTAGTATGAGCAAAAGTTAGAGAGAGAAGTCTGAGACCGTAAGATGGGAAAATTGAAGTTAGCAAGGACGTAACCCTGGGTTACGTTTTGGTTATATCTGGTTTCAGCAGGGTTTTTTATGAGTGTTTTTTTGAGAATTTGGAATGTGTTATTAAAACGCTATCTATATTGATAGCAGGAGAAGGACATTGATTCAGATGTTAATTTAAATAATGTGTGTTGTAAAGAGCCAATAAAGAGATGGAGGAAATGTGAATATGGTAATGGGTATGTTTAATGTTAATTAGTATTATAATGGATTATAAAAAGAGTAGCCTTGCTAAATTGCAAGAGATCTCCAATTAACACCAAAAGGATACCGTTAGGTTACAGGATTATAAACTATACTTCATTCTGTTGTCAGTGGGCTGATCACCCATTGATATGCTCTTCCGTCTTTGAAAGGGAGTCTAATTGTAGTACCTGTGTAAATGATAATTGTATGCCTGTTTGCTTAATTAATAATTTTTCTCTGGAAGTTTGGTTCTGTCATTCAAAGTGCCATCCAGGGTCTTCTATTTAATTAAATTGTCTGTCTGTAATGGACCTACAGGCTTGAACTTGAAAACTGAGTTTGGTTTATTGCATTCTTAGCTTTAACAACTTAACATCAATTGGGAACATTTAAAATTCAAGGTTAAGCTGTCCTCTTGTCTCTCTACCTGTAGCCACCAGACCACACTCCTCCTACAGCAGGTTAAAATAACATTAGTGTCTGATTTAAGCCCACAAACCCAGAACATATTTAGAGGAAGGCTTCTGATGCTATCCTCCTCTCATGCTGTTGTCAATAGCTGGTGCAGCACACATACTCTCTGAACCATGCAGACAACCCTCCCGAATCCATGGGGATCCCATGGATTGATTGATATCTTCCCCCCACACTCCCAATATGGAGAAGATGACAGGATGGGGCGGGGTGCCATGTTTTAGGATGGCTGCGGTTCCTAAGCCCAATGGTGTGACTTTATGATGAAGTGAGCAGTCTGGATTTTCTACAGGAAGGAAAAGAGGAAGTTTTTTAAAGATTTTTAATTCAGATCTTTCATGTTCCTTCAACATGATTTGTGCATTTAATTTCTGTTAATCTTATAGTTTTGCGTTTTCATCTGAAGTCCAGTAACCAAAATATTTTGAGTCCAGTGGATGTTCAATTATGTGGATATGGCTTATCCACAGCAGCATCTTTCAACTTTTTGGGGGCGGGAAATGCCCAAAGGGGCCTACTTCATATGATGGACTTATATTCAGGTCATATATTTTATGCTCCTCTTCCATAGCTTAATGTGAGCTGTTCTTTCCACCAGTGCATTAGCCATTTCTACAAGATTCAAAGAAAAGCTGATGTAAAGAACCTGGACCCTTTTTTCTGTGCATTTTTTGAATCTCCTTATATTTACAAAAAGGTTATAAACTATTGTGACTTGGTTTTAATTCTAATGTCTGCATGTTTGTCTGTTTTTATTTAGGTATTGTGCTTGTTGCCATTAACCCATACGAACAACTGCCAATCTATGAACAAGATGTCATCTATGCATACAGTGGCCAAAACATGGGGGACATGGATCCTCACATCTTTGCAGTGGCAGAAGAAGCCTACAAGCAAATGGCTAGGTAGGTGATATGTTGGTTATGAGGCTTACACCCAGAACCAGGGCTGTTCTTCCTTGGTGGTGGTGAAGATTATATAATTTCAGTGAAAATTAGTGTAATTTTATGGAGGACAAGGCAAAATTTTGCATCTCAGCTAGGAAGAGAACCCTATGCAATATCTGGGCCTTTTATCTACATAAACCCAACAAAAAAGGAAAACTTACCTTGAGGGTCTTATGCCTCCCCAAAGTGGGGTGTACCACACTTTTTCTGCTCCCAAACTCACCCCAGCAGTCTTTCAGCAGTCCTCTGATCTGTGAGGATTCCAACTCTTTAGAAGTTTAGAATAGCCTGGTTCCTGTGGCAGCATCCTGTTTGGTTGTCTGCCTGACGCCAGTACACATTGTGGTACAACAATTTTCACTGGTCCCTAGTGGTCGTGGCAGCTTCAGTAAACAAGCATTTCAGAATACCTTTTAAATCAACTTTGCTGAGTCTGTAAATGACCTCAATATGTGCTGAGTGGAGTTGTATGTCAGACTGCAGCTCCATCCCATGTAGACAATTGGGTAGTGATGAGACACTGTAGGGCAGCCCACTAGTCCACGAGGTCATTGGGAACCCATACATTTTTTTACAGCTGTGGTTAACCCTAGAATCTCAGGTCATGATGCCACTATGTAAGCACGTCTCAAGTGAGTAGGGTGACCAGACATCCCGATAATAGGGGCTTTGTCTTACATACTCAACTATACCTCCAAAAAAAAGTGTCCCGATTCTTCACACTTGCTACCTGGTCACCCTAGGAGTGAGTTCACCCAAGGACACACAAATCTCAATAAATGACTTGGAGCAATCAGACTTGTACTGGAATTCTTGGGTTAAATAATCTGGCTGGGGCCAAAAACAATTTTAACCATACATGTTGGAACCTGTATGCCTGGTAAAGTTTAAAAAATCCACACGAGTGCTTTCATATATTTATGAAATGTCTTGCCTAGCCCTTCTTCAGCAGTGACCTAACAGTGCATATCAGTGGTTTATTATGTTTTTACCATTGGTATTCTTTATATGGCAGCTCTATCATCACTGCTACAAAACAAGGATCGCAGTCCATGAGCCAAATTCAGACCCCTGCAAGCCTGTGCGGCTCCGCTGGCTTAAATGGAGTTTTACCCACCCATTCCAGGTCTGAACTTGGCCTGTTATATTCAAACTCAGCAGAATCTTTGAGTATTGCATTTTTTGAGAGACGGAAGTCTATGCAACTGTTTGATCTCTAATAAGTGAACATAAGAACGTCCATACTGGATGAGACCAAAGGTCCATCTAGCCCAGTATCCTGTCTTCCAAAGTGGCCAATGTCATATAAGACATTGAGGTAAGAGCCTGCATAAGTGTTTAATGCCTATTTGCTTCAGTCTTCAGTAAAAAAAAGGTTAATGGTGACCAGATATTCAACACAATTAATATTAGCAACAAGGGAGGAAGGAACACAAGCCAAAATAGGATAAGGAATATTTAGGTAAATTGCAAGTATTTGAGTTGGCAGGACCTGATGAAATCCATCCTAGGGTACCAAAGGAACTAGCTCAAGCAATCTCAAAACTCTAGCAATTATCTTCGAGAACTCATGAAGGACTGGTAAGGTCCCAGAAGATCGGAGAAGGGCAAACACAGTAACTCTCTTTAAAAAGGGGAACAAAGAGGACCTGGGGAATTATAGACCAGTCAGCCTAACTTCAATACCTGGAAAGATACTGGGACAAATTTATTAAACGATCAGTTTGTAAGCACCCAGTGGATAATAGGATTATAAGGAATTTCCTTCTCTGTCAGACCTAGTGGATGGGGGGAAGCAGTAGACATGAGTAAGGCCGTGACTTCTGTGACTTTCCGTTACCTCCGTGAATTTTGCAGCGCTGCTGCAGCTGAGCCCAGGACCACCCCAGCAGCTGGGGAAGCCCAGGGGCCAGCCACATTGGCTGCTGCTCTGGCAGCCCCAGACATAGGGTGACCAGATGTCCCGATTTTATAGGGACAGTCCTGATATTTGGAGCTTTTTTATATATAGGCTCCTATTACCCCCCCCACACCTTGTCCCGATTTTTCACACTTGCTATCTGGTCACCCTACCCAGGCAGCAGGTCCCCCGCCCAGCAGCAGTCATCTTCAGGAGCGCCCTCCTCCCAGCAGGTAAGATTTAGTCACAGGTATTTTTAGTAAAAGTCATGGACAGGTCACGGGGCCATGACTTTTTTTTTTTTTTATTGCCCTTGACCTGTCCATGACTTTTACTAAAAATACCCATGACTAAATACCCATGGGGGGAGGGATAGCTCAGTGGTTTGAGCATTGGCCTGCTAAACCCAGGGTTGTGAGTTCAATCCTTGAGGGGGCCACTTAGGGATCTGGGGCAAAATCAGTACTTGGTCCTGCTAGTGAAGGCCAGGGGGCTGGACTCAATGACCTTTCAAGGTCCCTTCCAGTTCTAGGAGATGGGATATCTCCATTAATTTAATTTAATTTAATTTAAAACATAGCCTTAGACATGATATATCTTGATTTTAGTAAGGCTTCTGTACTGTCCCACATGATTTTCTTCTAAGCAAACAAGGAAATGTGGTCTAAATGAAATTATGACAAGGTGGGTGCGCAACTGGTTGAAAAAAACATATTCAGCGTAATTATCAATGATTTGCTATCAAACTGGGGGCAGGGGTATTTAGTGGGGTCCTGCAGGGGTCAGTCCTGGTACTTGGGTAATGGAGTGGAGACTGTGCCTATAAAAATTGCAGGTGACACCAAGCTGGAAGGGGATAGGATTAGAATTCAAAATGATCTTGAGAAATTGGAGAATTGGTCTGAAAACAACAAGATGAAATTCAATAAAGACAAGTGGAAAATACTACACTTAAGAAGGAAAAATCAAATGTATAGCTACAAAATGGGAAATAACTGGGAAATAATAACATGATAAATGTGATGCTATTGCTAAAAAGGCTAAATGTTCTGAAGTTTATTAATAGGAGTGTTGTATGTAAGACACATGAGGTAATTGTCCCAGTCTACTCGGCACTAGTAAGGAAATAGCTGGAGTACTGTGTCCAATTCTGGGTGTCAGACTTCAGGAAAGATGTGAATAAATTGGAGAGAGTCCAGAGGAGAGCAACAAAAATGATAAAAGATTTAGCAATCCTGACCTATGGGGAAAGATTGTAAAAAACACAAACTGGGCATCTTTAGACTTGAGAAAAGAAGCCTGAGGGGGGACTTGATAAGTTTTCAAGCATGTGAAGGGCTGCTATCAAATGTTTTCTATGTCCACTGGCTCTAGGACAAGAAGTAATGGGCTTAATCTGCAGCAAGAGAGATTTAGGTTAGATATTTAGAAAATCTTTCTAATGACTGTATAAGGGTAGTTAAGCTTTGGAACAGGCTTCCAAGGGAGGCTGTGGAATCTCCATCACTGCAGGTTTTTAAGAACAGGTTGGACAAACACCTGGCAGGGTTTTTCTAGGTTTACTTGGTCCTGCATTGGTGCAGGGGGCTGGACTCGATGACTTTTCAAGGTCCCTTCCAGCCCAGCATTTCTGTGTTTCGAGTATTCTATAGTTTTCAGCCTTTGATTCCTAGTGGAGCACTAATGCAAAATACTCTGTTAAACTTAAATCATTAAAAATCTGACATAAACCCATACAAACAAGAAAATGAGCTAAAACATGGAGCCCAATCTTTATAGGTTCTGAGTGCCCTTGGGTGCTATTGAAGCTGATGTGTTGAGGGTAGCACTCAGGATGCTGCAGGATCAGACCCAGGGCTGATGATGCTTATTGTTTCTCGGTGTTGCTGAGACGGTGAAAGATGACTTGCAATATTTTGATAGTTTTCCCTGTGGAATTTCCTGAGTATACTCATTATCTCATTAGTGTTTTCTGTGTTTGATACACTTTTATTAGTTTTATTTCTTTAAATAAAAGAAGGAAATAATGTGTCACTGAAACAGAGTGTAAGACTTTATCCATGTATAATTGTTCTCTTGAGTCCCTCAGTGGCAGTGTGAAAGAAAGTATTTATTGACATAATGTAGTGTAGAAGAGTTTTTTAATACCTCCTATTGATATAATAGCAACTTCCCTAAGGAGCCCTACGGACCCTTTGCATGGATTACTGATAAAATACACTAATTTTCCCCCTTTGGCTACTGACTATTGTTTCAATATGGATTTAATTTACATTATGTCAACAAATTATTGACCTCGAGATATGAAAGCTGGCAGCTTTGATCTTGACATTGGGAGTTGACGTAGTTAAGACAATAGCGTGCCATGTAATCCGTATGGCAGTTTTCATTTTTGCAGCAAGTATGTATTGAGGTGACCACACAAAACTGTCTTATGACAGTGAGAAGTATTTAATATTTAGAATTAACTACATGACATTCCTTCACATGGGGAGGAATCTGTACTAATGGAAGATGCTACAAAAGAAAATGAATTTTTCTCTTTATGCGCAGCATGGGTGGCAGCAATGCGAGCTTCCTTGTACCACCCTGCCAATGTGTTTCAAACTTGCTTTGAGTGCACCATTCCCGGGGGTGAGAAATGGTTCAGTCTCCACATCCATAGAATTCTGGCTGCCTCTGCTGTGACTTTTAACACAGGTAATGTGCTGGTTGTGGCATTGAGAACAGACATGAGATCTTCAAGCACCATTTCTAAGAGCCACCAAATAATTTCCATTGGACAGTTTATATTTGTTGCTAGTTTACTGGGTGGGACTAGAGATGGAATGTTTCCATATCCCATTGCCATTCTTTTAGTGAGTGAGTTCACCCGTGAGTGATCTTGTATTAACTTGATGCCATTTTAAGACTTCCCAGAAAGCATCTGATATTGCAGGTGTTTTGTCTGCTGGTCGTAATTCTGAAAGATTTACACCAGATCTGGTCATGTTTTTTTTTCTCACTAGCTGAGGCAGTCAAGTTTTTATCCTGAGACGCTTTACAGGAAAGTTATGGG